GGGGGGGGGGGGGGCGACGCGGAGTGAAGGCAAGGAGATGACACGAGTGATGGTTTTCATGTATTTTTTTCAAATGAAGGAGGGATGGGAAATGGGTGGTGGAGGGTGGAGGGGGAGGTCGCTGTCGGAGCTTGGCGGTGAAACCAGGACGCGGCGTGCCTGGCCTCGTTGACCTGCTGCGTGATGTGATCATGTACGGTGCTTGGTATGGGCTCTGATTGCTCATGAGGGACGCGAGACGGCGAGGGGAATTTGTCGGATAGGGTCAATTTACCTTCGATTGTGCATGCAAAGTGTGGCTTAACAAGATTCTGAATACATACATACGTTGGTTGATTTTGTGGCAACTGTAGCATGTTGTCAAATCATGTTTGTTTATTTTTTTTTCAGAAAGCGGCCATTGGTTTAATTGCTGTAAGATATGGGGGTTACTTTATAGGGTGCTGTCTGTCTGACTGTCTTATCTGTCTGTCTGGGCCGATTTTGCTTGGTAGTGTTGTATGCATAGAGTAGATCACAACAACGCCGGCCGGTGTTTGTACAAGATCGATGCGACTGACTTCTCTGCTGCATTTATTTTCGTTGCAGCAACCAAGCGGACTACTACTGCTGTAAGACTGCTGCTGTGGACTCTTTTTTGTGCGCGTTAAATATGCCACATTGATTGCCTGACCTGGTTGTTCGTGTGTGGATGATGTGCGTTCATTTAATAATGGTCAGGATCGCACTGCTGTGGACTCTCTCTGTGTTTTGACGTTGAACTGACACATTGATGGCTTGACCTGGCCACTCGTTCGTGTGGATGTTGTGTGTTTAACGGTCAGGATCGACCGTACTGCATAACCTGTTGACTGATCGCGGGGAAGAAAATGGATTGTTGTTGGTTTGTTCGCTTATAAAATATCATTGGTTTGTAGGTGAAAGAAATTGCTGGTTGGTCGCCTGCAACTAACTGACTATTTTTTTATCAAGAAGAAGGAGCGAGGGCTGGAAATAGAGAGTCTCTTGCGCGTTCTGTATTCTTACGGTGTCACGCTGCTGCTGCTGTTGTAAACAGCTACGTGTAGTAGCTAAAATGAGCGGTTGTTCGTCCCGAAATGGTTGGCATCCAGGTCACGTCGGTACGAGAACGTGCGTATATCTCGAATGGGTGGTCTTTCTGTGTGCGTATTTATTTTTCCTAGTAAATACCGTATATGACACAAGATAACACACCCCCTGGGCCGATTTTCAAAGCTCGATTTCTCAACAGCAGGAAGAGTCACAGCGCCGAAAACGGCGGCGTTGGAACCGTCTCGTCGACAGGTTTTCGAAAATGTATTGTTTCGTTTATGCATCCTCTTCGTCGTGGAGTAATCGAGCTTTGAAAATCGGTCCAGGGGGTGTGTTATCTTGTGTCATATACGGTATCTTTATCGTTCCTTCGAACACACACATTTAGACTTGTGTGGAATGTAGCGTGCGTCAGGTCGACATGACGCTACTGCTGTGTAGATTCGCCGTGTATGTAGATCGAGACGGGCCGATAAGCTTGAGAATGGTCCTGATATGTCAGACCACACATCTGGAGGAAGCACCCATAGTAGTATCGGACGTGGGTGCCCGTTGAACAAAGACACAACAACAGCAGTATAGTCCTACAGCGTCAATCACTCGTTGAGCTTTCCGTCGCTTTTGACTCTGCGCATTTTGCGTACCCCCCTCCCCCCCCCCCCCGGGGCCTCGGGCTGGGTCATCTTCTTTGCTTTTGCCAAACACAACATTGCTTGCACCTGGGGGCGGGAGTAACAAGGAACGCACACGAGCCCGCGGCTGGACAGGAGAAAGAGGTGACTCGTGCGTGGGCTGCCTTGCGAACTTTGAAACTCGAGGACGGGTGGGCGAGCAATCAGCCGAACAGGACTGCGCGGCAGAGAGCCAAGCGGAGAGGGGAGGGAGGAAAGAAGAGGAGAGGGAAAACCCCACTTGTTCGGTCTTACAGCCAAAACAAGACTAGATAGTCTAACGTCTTAGAGAGAGGCAGCGCCGCTCTGTCTGGGATTCTGGCTCGACTGGGGCAGTAGCAGCTGCAAGGGGAGGGTCAAGCTCGACTGCGTGGCCATCTCCTCTCTGCCTCGGGAAGCATCACCTGCAGCACAGCGACGAAAAGTCTTGGGATAATCCAGGGGGAGGGGTTGCTCGGCGGGAGGTGGTGTGGAAGGAGAGGGGCCAGGTGGCCGCCGCCGCCGCAGCAGCAGCAGCAGCAGCAGTAACGGAAGGCCTTGCAGCACGGCGAGCGGGATGTCCGCCATGGCGACCGAGCCACCCAGCGGCGGCGGCGATGCAGCGAACAGAGGGTCGGGAGTGGACATCCACGGGGCCGTCGAAAGGTGGGGGATGGTGGGATGGCAGAGAGACATGAGAAACAGCCGAGAGAGAGAGGGAAGGAAAAAGTTTCAAGTTTGATGGGAGAGTCTGCTGATCGCGCCATCCAAATCTGTCTGCCCGACACCTCGCGCGTGTCGTGTGGTTTCGGCGCAACCTGTGTTTTCGTGAGCCAGTGGTAGCAATAGTCCCTTTGGTTGCGTGCTCAGAAGACCATTTGTTGGTGTTACGTGTTACGTTGCGCGTTGTTTTTCCGTCCTCCCATTCCAGTATATATGAACAAAACGGACGGTCTCTCCCTCTCTCTTCTTTCTCGCTCGGTGTGAAAAAAAGGTCTTTTGGAAAACAATCAGGTCATCCATCATCTTGCCCCACCCCCAAAACAACAGCTCCAATTATTATTCCGACGCCACGGGCGACGGCCCGGGCTAAAAGATTAAGACCACCACACCCCCTTCTCCGGTCCTGCCGCCGTCTGTACACACGGATATCTCCATGACAAAGGGCAGGCTAAAAGTACCTACCTCAGCTGCTGCTGCTGCTGCTGCTGT